GACAAAATCGAGCTGCAGATGGGTCACACGACTCGTGTGACCCATGACACGAGTCGAGTGGCTTCAAGGGAATGATTTTTTTACCTACGGCTTTTTCACACGGGTCGTGTGTCATGTGACACGAGTTGTGTGACGTTACACGACCCGTGTGGTTATGTCGTGTGAGTCTGGGAGTAATTTTTTTTAATTGAAAACGTATTGTCATAATACGTTTTATGTTTTAATTTTTTTAACTGAAAACGTATTCTCATAATACTGTTTTGGATGGAAACCGTAATATGAAAATACGGTTTCATTTAAAAAAAATTTCATAAATTTTACTAATTTTTTTTTAATTTATAGTATATAAAAATTATTTAAAAAAAAAAGCATATATTCAAAATACGTTTTAATTTTTAAAGCGTATTCTGAAAATACGTTTCATGTAAAACGTATTATGAGAGTACGTTTTATTTTACATTAATTTTCTTAATCGCGATTTAATTAAGTTAATCGTGTTTAAAAATTTATTTCGATATAAAACGTAACATGAGAATACGTTTTTCTTTTGGAAACGTATTCTCGGAATACGTTTTAAAATTGAAAACGTATTCTCAGTATCCGGCTGTTTTATTTTGGTCGACAGCTTTTTTTTATTTTTTTTTATTTTTGTCCAGTTATTTTTTTTTTGATTTAAATAATAAATTCTAGATTTTGAGTTGAAATAAAAATGAGTAAATTAATTGGTATAGAATGAAGCGCTTAGGTGCTGCCGATCGTCAAAATAATTTATTCGTTAGCGGTTTAAAATCCAATTTAAATCTAATCTCTGTATGTACCGATCGGCAGCGAGGCGTTTGCTACCGGCGTTACGCCGGCGAACTGGTCACCCTCCGAACCAGGCGTCTACGGTTCCTTTCTCAGCCCCAGTGATAAACAGGCCGGCGTGCTCCACGGCTGCTACCTCCGAAAATACTCAGCATCCCAACCCTAATAATTTCGATTTTTCCTACCAATCGTCATCGAATGAAGGTGAAAATCCCAGAGTGGAGGACCGCCCTAAAGCTCAGTGGCAGGACGAGCAGGCGCGCGTTCTTCACGCCTCTCTCCGTCACGTGGTCAGGCATTTTACATTAGATTTTAGCTTTCTTTTTCACTTTTTCTTTTCTTTTTTTTTTTCTTTTCTTTTAAATGTTTCTTGCATATTTGAATTGATCACTTGGCATTGTTACAATATGGAGGAGGTTTTGAACTTTGAATGTGTCGAGTGGGTGAGTTTGTACATGAACACATTTAATAATGACAGGTTGATTTGGGCATCCTAATTTGATTTGGAATTCAAGATACATAGAAACTAATCTCACTTTCATTTGCAGCCTTCTGAACGTTCTTTTGATTTTTTTTTTT